GCATTAGGTCTGTGTAGGGGACCCCCAGCTCCCCACGATTGCAGGCTCCACCCCTGCCCAGGCCTAACATCTTTGGCCAAGGCTTTAGGCCTGGGCAAGGGATCCCTAGCTCCCTGGACTGCCGGCCCCGTCACTGCCCAGCTCCCATTGCTGGCTCCACCCCTGCTTCCCGCTATCACTGGCCGGGGCGGCAAAGGCGCCTGGTTCTCTGATCACAGCTGGGGGGCAGGGCAAAGGCGGCCTCCAGGGCCGCCTTTGCCCTGCCCCCTGGCTCTTAGCTCCCCCCTGGGTTTCTGATCACTGTCAGTGGCAGGGGGTTTCTTCCTGCTTTCCCTTTCGCCTCCCTGCATTGTGCCTACATATGCAAATTAACCGCCATCTTTGTTGGCGGTTAACCGCCATCTTGGCTGGTGATTAATTTGCATATCTCGCTAATTAGCCAATGGGAAGGGTAGCGGTCGTACGCTAATTACCATGTTTCTCTTTTATTAGATTAGATATGTATATGTGTGTGTGTGTGTGTGTGTGTGTGTGTGTATAGATGTCCTCTATTTCTTTCTTTATGATTGAAATGTCCCTATGCCTACATTTTAAAGTCTCAGTATTGACTATACATCTTGGAGGAATATGGAATTCTGGTCTTCCTAGACTCTGAATTTCTTGGGAGAACACCACCTGTGGAGATGAAGCACCTGAGAAAGCAGGATCCAGATTCTGACTTTGCTCATAAACACTTAAAACCAAGAGTCACACCATGACAATGCCATATATAGTGCCTCATCTCTTCTAGATCTATGTGAATAGAGAAGGGAAGATATATAAGAAACTGAACACCTGATAAATCCCAAACATGGTGCCCAGTTAGACATTTAGTAGCACTCCCAATCACATCATTTCTCTTTGTAGACATACTGTTAGGGAGAGAAGTAACCTCTCAGAGACACTCATGGAAGTAAAAGATTTTCCACTTATACCCATTTAAATATTTTTAAATTAATTGATTAATTATTTTTTAACACATGTCTAAGGATTGGGAAAAGGGGCTAATCTTGCCACTACAGAAGTTGTGATGATATTTTACTTCACTACTCATACTTTTGAATTATACTAGTTCATGAATATGCAAGCCCAAGCCACGTACACGTTTCCCCTGGAAATATGTGCTGTGGGCCATCTTAGTATGGAAATCAGAAATGATATTGCACTGGAGGTCTGGCTCACTCTCATTATTCTGACAAGGGCTGGAGCTGACCTCTGACTAGAGGCTTTGGAAGCTTCACAGTTCTGAGGTCAGACTGAAAGTTAACATGTAGATAATGGTCAAAAACACATTGGCAGGCTGTGTTTGCAGACTTTAGGAGAAACACGGCTATTATAGGTAGATGAAGTAGGTAAAGTGGGTACCCATATCTTAGAGCAGCTTTAAGGGAATCAGAAGAGATGCTAAAAGACTCCAATGCTCCAAACTTGTTCTTCCATAAATTAACATTCTTTACGATAACAGGGTATGTGAAACACAAGGTTGAAGTCAGTTCAGCTTCACAATTATTTACCATTTCTCTACAGGCTGAGTAGTGTGCTTAGGTATTTTGAATAACGGAAATGATTTTAAAATGGCCCCTATTTTTAAGAATTAATGACCTTAGTATTCCAGATAAATTCAGACTTTTTCTTAGGAATATTAGAGCTATGGCAGTTTTAATTTATCACATTAGTTTTCTGTCATTTTGACTGGTGGAGAAGATGCTTTTGAAACACTAGTCACTGGATGAGCACACATTGATGAGGGGAAATGTTCAGAGAATAAGGTGCTTTCCCCGAAAAAGTTGATTTTTGGGGAGTGTTATAATAGTATGGTGTGGAAGGCTGAAGGAGTGAGAGTTGAAAGCAGATAGGTAAAGTAAATGGATTCTGAAATTGCTTTACTTACCTAACAACATTTTTCAACCCTGCCAAGGAATATGAATATATTAAATTTTTCCTTTCTAGTGTTCCTCACTATTAGGAAGGAAGTTCTTAAAAAGTTCATATGAAAATTTTCTATATAGCTAGACATAACATTTTGTCCCTGTGTACTATCCAAAAATGTCAATTGCCTTAAAAATATTTTGTTATTACTTGTTTTCTTTTCTTTTTTTTAATAAACCTCCTAAGGTATGCAGGGAAATAGAGCATTTACATACCTGAGTAACAAAACATGATCATAATTCTTCTTTTTTTTAAGCACTGCCTGTTGCCAAGCTGAAAAACGCGATAAAGTTGTTTCCATATTGGAATCAATTTTTATTTTATCTCCACTTGTCCACATCTCAAGGCCAACCAATGTAACATGAATGTCAAGAGTTTTATAAATCTGTTTAAAATAAAAAGAATTTTTCACAAAGTCAAGTTGCATAAAGATCCTTTCCATTAGCATATTCTTTTACATTAAAAAGAGAAACTTTTGCAGTGAGTGCATGCCAGGGAGATCTCCTACACCTTGAAGTTCTCATCCATGTGCCCAGAACCAGCCTCCCAGGATCCCACGCTGACAGGGCTGCCATAGCAACACAGACCTGCCCTGTGACTGCTCCATCCCTGGGGCCAGGGACGAGTACATTCGTGTTCTTTTCTTTTTGTGTCATGTCTTGTGTTGTATTTTGTGCTGCTCAGTCAGCACCTCCACAAAGGTTGGCACAATGGAATAGAGAGTGAGCCACATAACCAGATATCCTGAGAGAAAACTCCATCCAAAAATGGGACAAAAAAATTCAAGATCCAACTACATTAGGAGAACCTAAACATATTAAGTAGAAGGAATCCGTAGAATACCCAGCCCAGAAGACCACTAGGTCCTACCAAACATCTAATACATAAGATAAATTTAAAAAATCTGAGTGTCATAGCAGTTTGATTTAATACATAGGTTAATCACAAAGGAACAGCAAAAAATGGGTGACAGAGAAATAATCCCAATATGAAGGAAAAGGAGGAATCACCAGAAAAGGCAATAAATTGAATGGAGGCAAGCAATATGACAGAGAAAGAATTCAGAGTAATTGTTATAAAAATGCTCAACTGTCTGGATAAGAAATTCACCAACATATGTAAGAATCAAGAGGACATGAAGAATGATATAGTGGCAATAACAAACACAATGGAAGGTTTTAATGATAGACTAGAAGAAGTGGAGGACTGAGTCAGTGAGTTAGAAGACAGGGTAGAAAATAACACCCAAACTACACAGCAATTGGGGGAAAAAATTAAAAAGCAGAAGGAGAGTTTAAGGGAGCTTTTGGACAACATAAAATGAAGAAACATATGCATAGTAGGGGTGCCAGAAGGATAAGAAGAGGAGCAAGGATTAGGAAACCTATTTGAAGAAATAATGACAGAAAACTTCCCTGACTTGGGGAAGAAAAAGTCACACAAGCACAGAGAGTCCCAAACAAGATGAACAAAAAAGACCCACACAAAGACATGTCATAATTACAATGGCAAATGTTAACAACAAAGAAAGAATCTTAAGGGTTGCAAGAGAGTACAGAAAGTTACCTACAAGGGATCTCCCATTAGACTATCAAATGATTTTTCAACAAAAATACATCAAGGTAGAAGGGAATGAAATGAAGTATACTAAGTGATGCAAAGCAAGGGACTGAATCCAAGAATACTCTTTCCAGCAAGGCTATCATTCAAAATTGATGGTGAAATCAGAAGCTTTGCAGACAAAAAAAAAGGTTAAGGAAGTTTATCACTACCAAGCCAGCAATGCAAAAAATGCTAAAGGGATTGTTGTAAGAGAAGAAATAGAAAGGGAAGAAGGAACACAGTCATAAAGAATACAAATGGCAACAAACAAGCAATTATCAATAATAACCTTAAATGGAAATGGATTAAATGCTCTAATCAAAGAACATAAAATTGCTGAATGGAAAAGAAAACATGACCCACATATATGGTATATATAAGAGACCCACCTCAGAACAAGGAACTCACACAGACTGAAAGTGAAGGGATGGAGAAGAATTTTTCAGGCAAATAGAAATGAAAAAAAGGTTGGGTAGCAATACTTATATCTGACAAAATAGACGTCAAAGTGAAGGCTATTACAAGAGATAAGAGAGGCCACTTTCATAATACTAAAGAGATTGATACAACAAGAAGATATAACTCTGATAAACATATATGCACCCAATACAGGAGCACCAAATACATAATAAATAAATAAATAAATAAATAAATAAATCACCCAATACAGGAGCACCAAATACATAATAAATAAATAAATAAATAAATAAATAAATAAATAAATAAATAAATACTTCTGAAAGATATCAAGGAAGAGGTTGACAGCAACACAATCTTTGTAGGGACTTTAATACCCTATTGACATCACTGGATAAATCTTCTAGACAAAAAAAATCAACAAAGAAACAGCATATGGAATTAATTGACATCTTCAGAACATTTAACCTCAAAACTACAGAATATACATTCTTCTCAAGTGCACACAGGACATTTTCAAAGATAGGCCACATATTAGGACACAGGCAAAGTCTCTTCAAAATTAAGAAGTTTGAAATCATACCAAGCATCTTCTCAGACCACAATAGAATAAAATTAGAAATCAACTACAATAAAAACAATCAAACACTTGGAAGATAAATACTATGCTATTAAACAATAATTGGTTTACCAAAGAGATCAAATAAAAAATAAAAAACAATCTGGAATCAAATAACAATAAAAAACACAACAATTCAAAATTTATGGGACACAATGAAAACAGTCGTGAGAGGGAAGTTCATAGCACTACGGGCCCACTTCAAAAAACAAGAAAAAATGGTAATACATAATCTAACCCAACAATTTAAAGAATTAGAAAGAGAGCAACAATAAAAGCCCAGAGTAAGTAGAGGAAAGGAAATAATAAAGATCAGAATGGAAATAAATGAAATAGAGACAAAAAAAATCAATAGAACCAAGAGCTGAATCTTTGAAAGGATAAATAAGATTGATAAACCTCTAGCCAGGCTCACCAAGAAGCAAAGAGAGAGGACTCAAATAAACAAAATCAGAAATAAGAGAAGTGAAGTAACAACTGAACCCACAGAAATACAAAGGATTACAAACAAACAAACAAACAATAAACAAAAACTACGAACAAATCTATTCCAACAAACTGAACAACCTAGACAAAATGGACACATTCCTAGAAAAATACAATCTTCCAAATTTCAATCAAGGAGAATCAGAAAATCTGAATAGGTCAATAACTGCTGAGGAAATTGAAGCAGTAATAAAAAAAAACAACCCAGAAAACAAAAGGCCTGGTCTGGACAGATTCACAGGAGAGTTTTATCAAACATTCAAAGAAGAACTAAAACCTACCCTCCTCAGATTATTCCAAAAAATTCAAGAGGAAGGAACACTTCCAAGCTCTTTCTATGAACCCAGCATTACCCTAATCCCAAAACAAGATAAAGATGCTACAAAGAAAGAGAAATATAGGCCAATACCCGTAATGAACATAGATGCTAAAATCTTCAACAAAATATTAGCAAATTGCATCCAACAATACATTCAAAAGAACATACACCAAGACTAGGTGGGATTTACTAGTATTTTGGGGATGCAAGGCTGGTTCAATATCTGTAATTAAATAAATGTGATACATCACATAAAAAAATTGAAAGACAAAAACCACATGATCATATCAATTGATGCAGAAAAAGCATTTGACAAAATCCAACACCCTTTCTTTATAAAAACTCTCAGCAAAGTGGGAATAGAGGGCTCATACCTCAACATAATAAAAGCTCTATATGAAAAACCTACAGCCAACATCATACTCAATGGGCAAAAACTAAAACCATTTCCTAAGAATAGGTACAAGACAGGGATGCCCACTTTCACCACTCCTGTTCAACATAGTACTGGAAGTGCTAGCCATAGTGATCAGACAAGAAGAAGGAATAAAAGGCATCCAAATTATTAAAGAAGAATTAAAACTGTCCTTATTTGTGGATGACGTGCTATTGTATGTAAAAACCTAAGACTCCATCAAAAAACTACTTGATTTAATAAAGAAATTTGGCAACATAGAATGATACATTAACATCCAGAAATCTGTCCTTTTTATACACCAATAATGAGAACTCATAGAGAGAGAAACTAAAAAAAAAATCGCATTTACCACTGCAACAAAAAAATTAAGATACCTACAAATAAACTTAACTAAAAAGGTAAAAGACCTGTACTTGGAAAACTACAAGTCATTTAAAAAAGAGATAGAGAAATATATAAACAAATGGATGAATATACCATGTTCATAGATTGGTAGAATCAACATCATTAAAATGTCCATGCTACTGAAGGCAATCTATAGATTCAATGCAATCCCAATTAAAATACCAATGGCATATTTCACAGACTTAGAAAAAACTATCCAAAAATTTATATGCAATTTAAAAAGTCCCAGAATATCTGCAGCAATCCTGAGAAAGAACAACAAAGTTTCAGGAATCACAATACCAGGTTTCAAGTTGTACTACAAAGCCACTGTTCTCAAAACAGCCTGGTAATGGTGCAAGAACAGACAAATAGACCTATGGAACAGAAGAGAGAACCTAGAAATTGACCCAAGCCATTATGCTCAATTAATATTTGACAAAGGAGGCTAAGGATACAATAAAGTCAAGACAATAAATGGTGTTGGGAAAATTGGACAGATATATGCAAAAAAAATGAAACTTGACCACCAACTAACACCATACATGAAAATAAATTCAAAATGTATAACAGACTTAAACATAAGATGGGAAACTGTAAAAATCTTAGAAGAATTCATAGGCAGCAAAATGTCAGATATAGCTCGTAGCAATATGTTTACCGACACATCTCCTAGGATAATGGGAACTAAGGAGCAAATAAAAAATGGGACTATATCAAAATAAAAAGCTTCTGCACAGCAAAAGAAACCCTCAACAAAACAACAAGAAAGCCCACTGAATGGGAGAACATATTTGCTCAAAAGCAGAGCTACAGAAAGCCAAGAGGCATTTGAAAAAATGCCCAAAGACACTAATCACCCAAGAGATGCAAATCAAAACAACAATGAGGTATCACCTCACACCTGTCAGAATGGCTATCATCAACAAATCAACAAATGACAAGTGCTGGCAATGATGTGGAAAAAAGGGAACTCTAGTACACTGCTGGTGGGATTTCAGACTGGTGCAGCCTCTGTGGAAAACAGTATGGAGTTCCTTCAAAAAATTAAAAATGGAACTCCTATTTGACCCAGTAATCCCACTTCTAGAAATATATTCCAAGAAAACAGAAGCACCAATTAGAAAGGACATATGCACC